ATGATAAATTTGTGAGGGAAGGGTGAGGCCTTAGAGAGCTGAGAAGGTCTCATCCTGTCAGTGAGCAGGGAACATATGAATTCTGTTTGGTCACCTGGGGCCCATTTAGTGCACTAGAGTACTAATTTGCTAAATGGGTCCCTCATAGTAAAAATGAATGAGTAAATAGTGAGCAATTTAGGGATGGTAAACCACTAGTAGCTCAAGGGATATAGAAATGTGAAACTATAATTATATTCCTTGTTCATAATGTACTAACTAAATGTATTACATTGTATATTGCATCTTTCTGAGTTTATTTCTGGACACAGCTGAGCCCTTTACAATTCAGACTGAAACCAATCCTGCTATCAATTCATGCCTCCATTAAAATTCCAACTGCTTATATTAGAAAAAAAATTCCAGAGATGGTTTCTTTTATCTTGGATCTAAGGATGCAAACGGGATTAACCTAGATGCAAAACACAGCAAGTCAGTTATAAATCACACGGCATAAAATAAACTGTGGCAGTAAATTGAAAATTATGTTCTCTTTTTCTATACTTAGCTGTGAAAATATTTTAACAAGTTGGCTCAGGGTTTGCTACTTTTACATCTGTTGTTTCTTTTCGGGATTATCTTTTAGCATTTGAAGATGTGGTTCTTTTAAAAGTGTGGCTAGTCAGAAATGTGGTATCAGATTGTACATTTGGAACATTTTAAAGGATGGGGGGCATTTGTGAGTTATGTGGTTTCAAGATAGTGGCCTATTCCCCACTCTACTTTTAAGTAGGAGAAGCTGGGATTTCATGGGTGTCTAGAAAACATTTGTCCTTAACTGAAATCCTTTTCTTATTCAGAGAAATTGTACAGTGTGTGTTGGCTCGGACGGTCTAGATGATGTTCCATGATACCAGCAAACTCCAAGTTTCATTGCCCTTATCATTGTCTATTATTAAAACTCCGAGGTTCCAGTTGATCTGGTGTTCAGGGGACTGTCTATTTTCATGAACTCTCATTTCTTTCTCTCTCTTCGCTCACCCCCAAGTTTAGTAACTTTACTGAAGGTGTTTGGAGGTGGAACCAGGGATGGATGGATCACACTGTGGATCCTTGGTCTTCTGCTCTCCCCTAAACTCTGATTTCTATTATTTTGGATACAATGGAATATGACGTCTTTTAGATTATAGACACTATACCTGAAATAGTTTCTCTGTGTAGAAATTATAATCTGCATTCTCCCCCCCACCCGCCCACAAAAAAAGGACCCACTGTTTTTTTGAGGCTGGAATGCACTTCCTTTTTCTTCATGTTGAGATACTTGAACATAATTCATTATTCCCTTTCTCCTCCTAATTTAGTAATCCCTCACACCAAGTCTGGCAGGTGTGTATGAAGACTCTCCAACCCCTCCCCACTCCAATACTTTGTATACTGAATTCTCTGACCGATGCTTTTTCTTTAAGTTTTCCCCCTTGGAGGAGGTATTTTGGTTACAAATAACATCAAGGGGTAAATACAGTTCCTAGAGGATGAAAAGGCGAGAGTCGTGGTGATTGTGTAAAACTAAATAGCAAGACTCAGAGCTTATTGAGAACAGTGCTATGATTTCTTAAAGAGGATGCAAATGGACATTGGGCCAATGGTGACAGAATTTCTGATTAGAACAAACTTCCCTTGAGTTTGTTACATTAGCTAAATAAAAATAACTCTAGAAAGCAGATATATGAGAATTAATATATATTTCTTTTTTTTTTTTTTTTTTTTTTCGGGAAAGCAGCCTCAGAAGAGGTGGTTTTTCTTTATTGGGAACTCAGATGATCAGAGGTCCTCTGTCTCCAGTGAAATACTGAGGCTGAAGGAACATGCCACAGCACATTCCTTTGCATCCTGTGCTCTCTCCCAAGGTAGAGGGAAACCACAAACACCCACCCTCTAGCCGTCCCCACTGCCACTCTTAAGGACTTTCCCCGGTACCTCCCAAAAGATGACGCCCACACACACAAAGTTAGGCCTGGCAAAAAGCCAAGCCTCAGTAAAGGCTCAAAAAGCCTCAGTAACTCTTCTTGGTGGAACCACAGTCAGAGAAGCCCATCACAGCTGCCATCTCACCTTCCTCCTCCAATGTCAAGTCCTCCTCCGCCCTCCTTTTCTTCTTCTGTTTCTCTTTCTTGTAGGCTTTGGCCTTTTCCTCCTCTTCTCTGAGTTCCTTCATCCTTTTCTCAAAATCCTAATCCTTCTGCTTCTCTTCCATCTTCTTCTTGTTGACTTCAAAACGTTTCTTCACCTGATCCAAAGTGGAACGTTCCACACGCATAGACATGCCCAGGTTTCGCTGATGTTTCTTTCCATTACTGTGATCCAGGAAGTTGATGGAGTCTTTCACCACACAGTCACAGACATTGCAATAGTATCCTCCCATCTCAGACTGTGGGGTGGTCTTGGTAATGACGACTGTCTTCCCAAGTTTGGATTCCAGGTCCACCTTGGAGTCCCTATGCCGGAGAAGCTCTCGCTTGACTGGCTGCACTGGTTTTCCGTCCTTCTTTTCTCTCTCTTCCGTGAGCCTCTTCTCGGCGAGCTTCTCATATTCGTCTTTGTCCCACTTTCGGCGAAAGTCCAAGTTTTTTGTGCCACTGCCCGACGCGATCTTCACTGCGAAGTGAATATATATTTCTTAATATAGAAAAAATTAAAGAGGTTTATAGGAAATCAGCTAAGGAACTAAAAAATATAAAGAAATGTAAATAGTCCGTGCTTTAGTGCTGAAATTTAATGTAGTCTTTGTTTTTTAACCTTATTAAAGTAAGGCTAAATTAAAATACTGTTCTTTTCATTTCTAGAATAGTTTGTGTTAGGTGCTACTCAAGGTACATATGGATTAGGCAGCTGAAATTCATCTTCAAGATCATTACCTCTTTCTCTGCCTCTTTACTTTCTTTCAGAGACTTATCCTTCAGCAAGTACTCAGCTTCATTTGTTCTAGAAAATTTCATCCAAAGTGAGGTCTCTATTGTTGGACTCCCTAGACTAGGTCAGTTCTCTTGTTTTATTTTTCTTCCTCCATGGCACCCAGTATTTTCCCCTCGTCCACATCCCTCTCACTTGTTGAACCTCTTTCTTGCTAATCTATAAGCTCTGTGAAGGCAAGGACAGTGTCTGATTTATTCAATTGCTGAACAGAGTACCTGGCATATAATATGTTTATAATTATTTGTTAAATTAATTGACTTGACTATCTTATGTCTCTTGGGAGAACTTGCATTCTTCCTAATTTTAAAAATGTAACTCTGTGCTCTTGATTGAATTGAAATGGAATAAACATTTGTTTCATGAGACCAAGAGGTAATACTTCAAAAGAAAAATATAAAAAATCATTTTCAGGAATTTCAAGAATCAAGATAAATATATATTTTTTGGTCCTGTAACTTCCTCCATTCCTCTTCAATGGAACTGTGTAGATAACCCAAGTACAACTTTCCCTGCCCTTACTAGTTTCTGTTATTTCAGCTACAAGTTCCAGTTTCTCTGTTTCTCTCTCCTTCCTTTTTCCTCAAACCCCTCACCCCCAATTCACCCTCAAGTTTAGTAATTTTATTGAAGTTAGGGAGGCCCTGGATAGTATGAAGTTGAAAAAGTCTCAAATGTGAAAATCCAGATTTCTAAAACAATGTGGGGGAATAGTAATTCAATTAAAAAATTTACTAAATTCTTTTAAATAGTACGCTATTCTAATCTAGCCTACAATATTGTTTCAACTGACAAAGTGCAACTTTTCAGACCACGAATAACATTGTAGCCGTAGAGTATAACTTTTTCTGAATGTTGAAAGAAAAAACAAGGGAAGGCGTTAAGAGAGAACATACAGGACCAGCCCATCTCATATCCCACCGTGTCTCCATTCCAGCGTTTCCTCTACTTTCCATCGCTTTCTGTGTCATTAAGTTACTTCAAACCTTAAGACCAACAGGGAAAAATGAGATCTCAGCCCTTTGCCTTTTTCCTTCTCAGATGTACGTAGGACCTGGAGGATCGGGTCGGGGCTGACACGATTTCCACTAAGCACGTTCGATGGGTGGTGGAGGTGAAGACCAAAGTCTGGGGACCTTTGTACCGTTGAGAGTCCCTTCAAAGCCCTCTCTTTCAATTAGCCGGGAAAACGAAAGTCTTCTGGGAAGCGGGAGTGGGCGGGCTAAGTACAAGTTAATGAACAAGAACATTCCCGGGCACGGAGTTCAACAGCAGAGGGCAGAATACCCACTGTCCAGGGCACACGGCTGGCTGAAAAGAGGGGCATAGTTTAAGGATCTCTGGGGCTTGTAGTACACCACGTTTCCTTCGGACATGCCCGTCCGCTCACTGGAACTACAACTCCCAAGGTGCACCGCGCGCAGCTGTCGTCTCTGCCTCCCCCTCTCTGAGGCTCGCGCCGTAACCTCCCGGGAAACTGCCCCCCCCCGGCCCCGCCCTCGTACGCCGTGCCGTTTGTTTACCCTGAAGCCCCGCCTCACCGCCGCCCTCCCGCTCTCCCCTCTTCTGCCTGGAATGCCGTCATGCAGGTGATGCATATTCATGAGGCCCGCCGAGGAGCTCCCGCCCTGCCCGTCTCCCGCCTTCCCGCTGCCGGCGCATGATTAATATTCAATGAGCCCAGCTACGCGGCGGGTTCGCCGGGGTAGTAGGCGGGGCCTGCGCTCGGCGCCCGCGACCCGGGCGGGGAGGGCGTGTGTGTATGTGTGTGTGTGTGTGTGTGTGTGTGTATATGTGTGTGTGTGTGTGTGTGTGTGTGTGTGTGTGTGTTGGGGGGGCGGTGGCGGCCGAGCGGGCGGGCGCACGGGATGGAACACCGAGACACCGACGGAATGCTCCGAATTGCCACATAATCCCCTGGAACGGCCGTGCCGAACGCCATTGGCTTCTCCCTTCTCCCCGCGCCGCCGCCGTCTCCCACCTTCGCCTCGCCTCCTCTCTCTCTGCCAGCTGTCTCCGGAGCTGGGGGGGAAGCGCGAAGCCCCACTGCAATGGAGCCCGCCGCCGCGACTACGGCGCAGCGACTCCCAGAGACCAGCAGGGAGGACCGAGCTCCGGCTCCGGCGGCGGCTGCAGCGGCGGCCGCGGCCGCGGCGGCTCTGGCGGCGGCAGTCGGGGGCGGCCGGAGCCCGGAGCCCGCGCTGACCCCGGCGGCCCCCAGCGGCGGGGCGCGGGAAGAGGCCCCCGACGAGGCGCAGCTGGGGTTGTTGCCGGGCCGGCCGGGAGGCACGGGTCGCAGGAGGAGGCGCGGCGCCCCACAGCCCACCGCTGGCGGGGCTGCCCCGGTGTCCGGGGCCGGCGGTGGCGCCAACTCCCTGCTGCTGAGGAGAGGGCGGCTGAAGAGGAATCTGTCCGCGGCCGCTGCCGCCGCCTCGTCGTCCTCGTCCTCGTTGTCGTCGTCCGCCGCTGCCGCCTCGCACTCACCCGGCGCCACCGGCCTCACCGCCTCCTGCTCGGCCTCGGCGTCGCTGTGCACCCGGAGCCTGGACAGGAAGACGCTGCTCCTGAAGCACCGGCAGATGCTGCAGCTGCAGCCGTCGGACCGGGACTGGGTGCGGCACCAGCTCGAGCGGGGCTGCGTGCACGTCTTCGACCGCCACATGGCCTCGACCTACCTGCGCCCGGTGCTGTGCACGCTGGACACCACGGCCGGAGAGGTGGCCGCCCGCTTGCTGCAGGTGGGCTACAAGGGTGGCGGCGTGGTAAAGGTGCTGGGCAAGGGGCACTCTGACGCCGGTCTCCGGCTCCCGCCCGCCGAGCCGCGGGACTCGGGGCCGCCACCCGGGAGGAGCGGACTGGCCGCCGTCGGGGGGCCACAGCGCGCTCCTCCCACCGACCTGCCGCTGCCCGGCGCCCCGGACGGGTGGGCGCTCCGCGCCTCCCGCGCCAGCCCCGCGCCCTCAGACTCCAGCCTGGGCGAACCGGGCGCCCCGCGGCTCCTGGACGGCGCGGCCGCTGGCCCGGCCTCCGACACCGAGAGCTTCAGCCTGAGCCCCAGCGCCGAGAGCGTGTCTGACCGGTTGGACCCCTACAGCAGCGGCGGCGGCTGCTCGTCGTCGTCCGAGGAGCTGGAGGCTGACCTGGCCCCGGCCCGGACCCCGACGGGGGCTCCGGGACAGCCCCGCCTGCCCCGGCTTGGAGCGGGCGCCCGGCCGTCATCCCCGACGGCCTCCCCGCCTCCGCCGCAGCCGAAAGCCCAGAGGGGCGTCGAGGGCCCAGGCGGCGCCGCCCGCGATCAGCCTCGGGAGGAGAAGGCGGCGGCAACAGCGGCCCTCGGCCGCCCCCCGTCGACCCAGGATGGGAACGGGGCGACCGCGGAGCAGGCGCCTCCACCGCCCACTCTGTACGTGCAGCTCCACGGAGAGACCACCCGGCGCCTGGAGGCGGACGAGAAGCCGTTGCAGATCCAAAATGACTACCTCTTCCACCTGGGCTTTGGGGAGTTGTGGAGGGTGCAGGAGGAAGGCATGGACTCGGAGATCGGCTGCCTCATCCGCTTCTATGCAGGTAAGGAGATCACCTGCACTTTGACGCGTGGGGAATAAGCACTTCCAGGTCCCGAGAAATGTTTGGCCACCCCGAGAGTCAGCGCGGGTCCTCGGGAGTCTGTTACTTCTCTACAGCTTTCAAGTGCGATCTTTGTGATACTAAATTGAGCAGTTTTAAAATCCGCGAGCTTTTGTCATTCTTGGGGGCTCCGAGGTTGGGAAACAAGCTGGGAGAGGTGGCAGGGCCACCAGGAAGCACTGGGAGCAGGCACTCCTGAAAGAAGCAGTGGTGTCTTTAACAGTGAAGTGCTGCCTTCAGACGTCTGTTCATCGGTTTGTTGGGTTTGAGGCAGTTTGGGATTTCAGGTAAACATCACGTGCACGTGATACCTACAGAGGAAAATGACCTTGAGAAATGCGCTGGAACACCCGCCCTCCGTCTCACTGTCCGCGGCCTGCCCTTCCAGCCCGGCAGCTCGCTCCGCATCGGCTGGTGCTACTCGTTTGCCCACTTAGTCCTCGATGGAACCCAGCAGCTGCGGTCCTCTTTAGCGATACTTTTCCTCAGCGCTTTTTGGCTTTATTTCAGTTTCCTCTGTAAGTTTGATTCTTGCGTCAAAAGTGTTTTTGCCTATTTCTTTCTCTCAGTTTCTTACTTCTAGCCTTTATAGCCAGAACTGCCCATTGCAATGTGACTTGCAATAGGGATATATAGGAATCACAACACGACTTGAGGGTGATCTAAAATCTTCCTCATTTTTTTTTTCATTTCTAGATTAAAGGTCTTAAAAGGAGAGTTAAATCTTCCCCAGATTTACTAAAGTACTAAATTACTTCCCCACCTAGGTTGTATGTGGTGGTGGAAGAATAATCACACTTGTAATTTCATTAATCTGTAGCCATTCTTTCTAACTTAATATGTTTTGGGTCCAGCCTGTGTCCCAGTAGCAGTTTAGTCGGTTTGAATGAGGAAATTACTCACACATTGAGATATGCAAGACTGGTAGCATTCCTGGTGAGATGTTCCTTTACGTTTTAATTGAAGTTTTTCTGTAATTCAAGTGGATTTCTGATGGATTTTTGCCTCGTAAAGAAAACCATATCATAATACAATAGCATTTGTAGTATCTGAAGATAATATCCCAACCGGATGACAAGCCTTTAAAAGCTTATGGCCTAGAAAATAGGTGATTTTTTTTTTTTTTCATGTAGGAGCAACAACTATATCATTTTCTCCTGTGGCTCATGTAATTTGTAAAATACTGTTATTTTACAAAAGCAGTAAATGGTAATCACACTTGGAATGAGAATATTTTCTTAACATGAGAATGATAAATGCCCTTATAACCAACCAATTACATTGAAGGAAATATATATAAAGCAAGGGATATGTTAAATAAGAAGTATTGGACATATTTCGTATGGAAAGAGCTCTGCATCCTTTCTTTTCCTCATGACTGAATTGTTGATCATGATAAATGTCCATGGGAAGGGTTTTAGGTGTCTTAGTCATGACATTTAAATCTTTGATTCCCCTTGATTGTCTCTTCACGTGTGTCTAAAATGTTCTAAGTGGGTGATATATATAGGTTTTTTTAAAAAACATCTCAGTATAAAGGTGACAAATTATCTTTCTGGTAAATCGCAAATTTCTGGTGTGCTCATTTTAATCTTTTTGTTTCGTTCGTTATGAAAAGCAGGGATTGTTGCTTCATTCTGAACTTATTTGCTTTATTTCTATATGCACAGTATAAATACATATATACCTCTGTGAATATCCTTGTAAAAGTAACTAATTAAATGAGGAAGCCATACAGAGCATCCAACCTGTTCTTGAATATGAAGCTGGTATGCAGGTGTCCTAGAAGGAAGATGCCTGATTGTTATATAACAGTCTTTATAAAGATATTATAAAGATGTCTAATTGCTTATTTTATAGCAAGTTGAGCTTATTTTAAGCCTAAGAACATAGCAAACGTCTGTGTTGATACTCATTTGCCATAGAACAAAATTTACCATATAGTGAGTCCACTTGAACTTTTGCAAGGAAGTTTAGTTACTGATGAACAAAAGAGGCTTGTTATAAGGTGGTCTCACTCATCACTGGAACATTATCAGGACTTCACATGTAGCGCAGGTTTGCACCAAGCTGGAGGAGATTCCTAGAAGTTACCCCTGTGCTGCAGTGGATTGTAGGACACCCAACAGGAAAGTGGCATGTTTTGGTAGTAATTCTTTTCCATAAGAAGAAGAGAATTAACGTTTGTTTTATATGAGATCCTTTGAGGGACTGTTTTCCACCACATTCGTTTTTATAATGTTACGTATAACTTACTCTTAAATTTATTGCTGCATATCTTTTTGTTTATCTGTGTATGTGGAGTTGAGGATAGACTAGGAAATTGCTTTTGAAGGCTTTTGAATATTTTCCTATATTTAAATTGAGCTCGTTATCTGTTGTTTATCTAGTTTATCTGTTTATAACTGGAGAAGTTCTTGTCCAGTGGAGAACTTTCATTCTCTTGAGGTCACCTTTCAGTTAAATTTTAGTATTTATAACCTGGCCTAAGTTATTCTTAAAAGACTTTGAAAGCCATTTGTGGTTGCTTTGAATACTTAAATATTTATTTAGGTAAAGTAAAATGGAAGTCTTTGATGAGCTAAAAGGCTTTGGACAAAAGGTACTATCTAATTACAGAGTTGTTGAGAAAAACTTAGTTTGAAAATTGTTGCTCCTCTGAAGCAACCATTCTCTTAGCTAACTTTAAATAAGAAAAAATTTAATTATGGCTCTATCTGAAGTAACTTGTGTGAAGTATTAAGTATATTAGGTACATTAACATTCAATTTTCCTTTAAAATCAGCCATCTTAAATTTTACCTGAGAGTAATTTTAGGTGAAAAAAAATTCAAGAATTTAGGTTACTCGACATAGGTTACAGACTTAAAAACGATAATGAGGTTATGTTTTGGACTCCCTGGGGGCATCTGAGTCATTAATCAAGGGCAGTATTAAACTATATTTTTAATATTTTTGACTCTCTTCTACTGCCTTTTAGCTTTAGTCATCTGGCTGTTTCAGTTTAAATTGTAATAGTGGGAAATGATGTTGACAGAATGGAGAGTGCACCCACTGTGGCTTGTGAATCTTGGACAAGATATTTTTATGTTTGACTTTTTGGGATTGCTCAGGAGAACGGACTCCTTACCCGCTCATATTTCTTCTCTTTTTCTCTTCTGGGATGATCAAACCTTACATGGTTTCCTACATGGAAACCAAGAAGGGGTGGTTCGGCATTAAGCTGTAATATTGACAAGAAGTCTCTTATTACTATAATTACAGCAGTATTGAGTAACGTGGTATGAACATGTGACACCAGTGTGTGCTTAAGCAGTCCTTTTAAGAACAAAGGGTTTAATTTTATTTTTGTTGCTTTTTGTATTTAAATTTTATACTTGTTTTTGATATAAAGTGAGTGCTGTCTTGTCCTTCATAACTGTGGTTTGATAACGTCTATTAATATGTTGGGTTTATTATCTTCGAAAATTTTAAAGAGCTTTCACATAAATTATCTCATTTGTCCTTTCGGAAACACTATTAGGGAGGAGTGGGTGTCAATCCTCTTTTCAGATAAACTGATGCATAGTTTTGATTCTTGCTTGTGGTTTTTCAGTTCTTGGCAGAGCTGAGAAGAGAGAGCATGCATATTCTGTTTTACAATTCATATTACTTTCCATGAATCGAAGTTGAATTTCATTTACACTTGAATTTTTCACTTGGTTAAAAGCATTCCGAAAATATTCTATTTTTGTTGGTAATGAGGTGATATTATCCTCTAGTCCAAAGTGGTATTCCTTGTGAAATGTGGTTGGTTCTATTTTTATCATGCTGCCTTTAACATAAAGAAGCAAGACTGGCAAATAAGTGGACAATACAGAAAGAGTACGAAAGTGTTCTAAATATTCTGGTTGTAAATAGTCCTACATGCATTTAAGTTGGCATGAAATAAAGTTCGCCTAATGATTCTTTATTCTCTAACACACGCCTCATTTGTTAAACTGTAAATCTTCATTGGGTATAGAGCATTAACACTTTATCTGAAGAGTGGATAACTTTTGAGGGTAGCGGTGTGACATTTCAGTTCCTTTAAAACGTAGCTTTACTTGTAAAGTATTGAAAATAGCTATCATGAAAGGTTTGCATAAACCTTTCATCTTAAAGTAAACTTATTTGTACTTTAGTGATCAGTAGTGCTCTATTGGTGTCACCATGCTGTTCATTTTTTATAATTCATATGTTATATAGAGTTAGAGAGTAAGCTACTCTGCCTGATTTTTATAGTTATTCCTTAAATGGTATGTTTTTTTATGCTTATTGAAATAATTATAGGGAGAGGAGATGAGTGTAAATGAGTTTATGAAGTTTCTGGTTGAAAGTTTTATCTTTTTGTGGCTATAAGATTGTTAAAACCGCCACCTTAAATGACTCGTTATCCCAAGATTCTTATTATTTTTTAAAGAGTAAGGTGTTTTTGTTGTTTTTGATTCTCTTTATAGAATGCTGAATTTGATTTCTTGGTAACATAACATTCATTAATGTTGTATATGGTCCAAGGCTAGTATAGTACTTGGCATTTTAGTTTAAACATTTGTTGAATTGAATTTGTGGAATTTTGTTAAGCAGCTGGTGGTGTATGTCCTGAATCTTCAGCCTTCCTTCCTGTTAGGGTCCCCAGGGGTTGTGTTAAACACACATACACACAGAGGCATTTCTCCCATGACAGGAGGTTTTAGATGTGCCACACACTGTTAATATCTTCTATTTCCCGTGAGTGGAGCTCTATGTGGATTTTGAGAGAGTTCTCTCTCAAAGGTTTCTTAGAGTTAACAGGTGTTTTTTTTACCCCCTTTTCAAAGGCATCTCTTACCTAAACTTTAAGATGAATTTAATAAACATCTGTCAAATGAGGCGTTTTAGATTTAATGATTTTGTTATGTGCCAGGGTTGAACACGGTTCAG